AAATAAATACTATCAGGTGGAGAAACGCTGAAAATTATCAGGATCACAGAAAATGAGAAGAGGGATATGAAGCCCTGTTCAGGCATTAAACCTGAAAGCATGCAGAGCTAGTATCACAGTAATGATATGGGGGTACAAGTAAGCTCTGCTCCCCAACATTACCACCCACCTCTCCCATTTCTCTGCTTGGAAGCTCTAGCAATGGCACGGCTTCCGGTGGAGAAACGCTGAAAATTATCAGGATCACAGAAAATGAGAAGAGGGATATGAAGCCCTGTTCAGGCATTAAACCTGAAAGCATGCAGAGCTAGTATCACAGTAATGATATGGGGGTACAAGTAAGCTCTGCTCCCCAACATTACCACCCACCTCTCCCATTTCTCTGCTTGGAAGCTCTAGCAATGGCACGGCTTCCAACCTTTAGAGCCTCAATAAGGGTTAACCTTTACATTTTGTTGAAATTGTGATGTAAAGCCCCTTCTCATCCTTGCCTTTGCTTTTCCCGAGCATCCTCTCTGTCATGTTGCATAGGACACGTGCCACAGTGTCTGCCAGATGTCTTTCAGCTTGGATGTCATCCTGCAAGTTACTTCCCTATAAATCGTTTTTTAAAAATCAGAGCTTGGGGGAAATGTATCTTGGGGACTATAATTCCCAGAATTCCTTAGCCAGCATGACTTTGGGCTGGCTAGAGGTTTCTGGGGGTTCTAGTCTCTAAACATGACTTCCCCAAGCATTGTTTGAAATCAGTGGAACTACCTCTGTGCATAACAGCTCTGAAATATCAGATGGAAGCACCTGAATAAAGTCTAGTTCATCAGAAAAAAATCTGCTCAGAGGATTTGGCCTACCTGTGAGTGGCAAGAAGCGAAGACCTTGCTGTTGATGATGCTGCATTGCTTCTGGGACCAAGACTTTCTGTAAGGGTTTTTGGTGCATGGATCTTTGGTGCATTTGGCATCAGAACATGTGGGAGAGACCTTCCAACTGTTTCCAAACTCCAGAACATCACCTACTACAGACTGACTCCTAGTTGTGAAGTCATTAATTCCATTGCCATCATAGTTCCCACATAAACCACAGACCTGACCCTGCACAGAGAAACAAATAATAATAATAAAAACAAATAGAATAATAAAAAAAATGGACCAAATTCCTCTTAGATAAGCACAATCTTCAGTTATGGCCACATAGTTACAAGATTCAAGGAAGAACAGAGAATACCTCTGGCTCCATCTTTGTTATCTATCTATTTATTTAATTTCATTTCATAGCAAACAGGACTAAAACCACAATAAATTAGGTGAAAACAATTAAACATATAATAGTAATTTAAAATAACCATCTAAACATTTATAAAAGCACACTTAGAAGGAATGTATGCACAGTATCCAGAAGAGGACCAATCACACCCAATTTAGTTATGAAATGTCTGCTTAAAAAGGCATATCTTTAACTATTGCTGAAGGGACAAGAGGGAGGAGGCCAACCTAATGTTATGGTTTCATTATTTTATTTCATTTCAATTTAGAGCTGTTTTGCGATGGTCATTTATTCTGAAAGGGGATTTTAAAATCTCAAAAAAAAAAAAAAAAAAAAAACCCAAAAACTGAAGTTTGCAACATGGAGTTGCTAATAAGACACTTAAAATGCAGTCATATTTCTGCATCCTAAGGAAAATTTTCACAATACTGTATGGCTGCCAGATGGGTGTCTGGAATTGCCTCAGTGTAGCAGCAGTTTCATGTGACGGTGCTCCTGTGTACGACGAACGCTATATGATCTTCCTAGCTCCTAGAGATGGCTTGCAATTGCACAAAGACAAATCACACTGTGAGAACAATATGGCAAGCCAACACAAGTAAAACAGCTCACATTTAGGAACAGCCATTTTACAAAGGCGGGTTCAGGAGATCCACATGCAGAAACAGAGAAAATGAATTTTCAGACTGTGATCCTAACTGACTCAGAAAGTATTTCCTTGGGCTTTATATCCAAATGCTGTGCTTTTAAAACCAGGAAGTTAAGAAAAGGGAAAAAGTGATTATCTGTGACACTGATGAATATTTATCTGGCATGTCAAGTGTCTTACCCTGAAATCATCACTTAGTTTGATAAAAATGCTTGTTTTCTTGTCCCATAAGATAATCAACCCATTGTAAGTCTCAATAATCAGATAAATGCCCATGTAGCGAATCCTGTAGGGTGGGTGACCTCCCTGGCCCCTTTGTATCAGTTCATGGTGCTCCTCGCTGAGTATCAGCTCATAGTTCTGTTGAGAAAAATAATAGAAAAGCAATTTTTAAAATAATATTTAAAATGATAGATTTTGATTAGGAAACAACTTTTTGAAAATAATCAATGAATAAACACAAAGCATATTGACACACAGCCCCAAACTCTCTTGCACAGGTGTGGAAATGCCATAACAGTTGAAGGAGAATTGCCTCAAATTAAGAAATCACCATAGATATTATCGGTTGCACTCCGAGTCACACAACTGACTATACAATAGATAATATAGTGGTGTTTTTAATCTACAGTGATTTTTTCACTCCAAAAGTTAATGTGTTTTTAACTAGGCAACATAACAAGACAAGATGATTTAGAAACAGGTACAGTAGTTCCTCTGCTCATGATCACCCAACAGTAGATGGGGAAGGATGGTGCCATAAGAAAACTCAACTTGGCCTGAACTAGTCTCCATAAATAAGCATAAAAAATAACTCTTTCACACTTCAAAATAAAGATCTAGTAACCTAAGGGCACCTTTAGGTAAACTCAAAGAACTGAATGCATCCAGTGCAGACTTTTTCTTATCTAAATGCATGCCTATCTGACCATATTGCAAACTGAGGTGGAAATCAGTTTTGAGTTTCTCTGAACATCCTTGGTGTGTTGCTTTATGTTCACACCTCACCTGACATAGGATGTGGGAGAGCAATGATTTGAGAATCACCACCACCCCCACCCCGGGTGGATGAAACAAGTTACATGGATGTACAAGCCCTTCAGAAGGTTTGAAACGTGTACTTTGGACTTCAGAAGTGGTGTTCTTCAAAACGGTTCTTTTTAGAAGATGGTCTTGGGAACCTGATGTGTCAATTAGGTTATCTCACCATGTAAAAAACGTAACCGTGGCAGTGCCCCATAAATGCCCCAACAGAGATACTCACCCCTACAAACACTTTGATTGATTTTGAGCAAGTGGTGCCAGTGGTGCCACAGGGAATGTTTTCAGTGATGACTCGGAACGACCCCTGGGTGGAGCTATTCTTTCCGCAATGATCCTAAGAAGGAAAGGGTAGTGGTGATGGGGGAAAAAAAGGTTATTTCTTTTGGAAGCAGACGCAAGTGATTTGACCATTGAAAATGACAAGGCAATTATATCATACCTGTACTAGGGTATATTCACACTTCCCACTGAAAGTGTAACGCTTGTCATCAAAGGTGATATAATGCCCATCTCCATAAACTGCACAGGTACCTAAGCACTTGTTCTTAGTGCATTTCCACATCCTGTTCTTACATACGCTAAAAAAGAGAGACAATATTTAAAAGTGACTGTTCTGTTTGCATAAATATGAACGGACATGTATTAATTTACTGTGTCTGTGTGTGTTACAAGTCAGAACTGATTTATAGTGACCTAACATTTTTTTCCAGGCCAGTGAGATGTTTAAGGAGTGGTTTGCACACTCCCAGTGAGTTTCCACGGCTGGGAAGGGTTTCAAAACCAGGTCTCTTGAGTCCTAGTCTGTCACTCTATCCACTACATCATTATGATCACTGACTAAATCCCAACTAGAACAGACCAGTTTAAACAATGAGATTTATGTAAGTGTTGATATACTATTCAGCAGTTGATTGAATGGGTCTACTGTAGTTGGGATTAGAAGCTGAATTTCAGCCCAGGTGTGTAACCCCTGTAGAACATAGTGAAGACCAACCACAATATAGAGGAAGAAAAGAGGAAGAGTGAGGAAGATCCCAGGAAGTAGCATTAATACCTCAGAGGTAGTTGTATTAGCATATTTCGGCTTGTATCACAAAAAGAAATTAAAACAAAAATGAAAACAAATCAGGAAAAGTTGATGGAAGAAGACTGGACCCTTTTAAAGACTATTCCATAATGAACTCCACAAAAGATCCTGCTACAATAAATCCATTCAAGCTGAGAGGTGCCACAATTCCTTTTTTTAAAAATATATTCATTGTTCCATGTAAATTGTGTGAGAAGCTGGAAAGTCAGAGGTTTAGATTAATTAACTATTTATTTATTTTACAGGGCACCACAAAGTTTAGGCTTTTCAGGCTTACCAAAACTTCAGGGTCGCCAAATTGTGGACTAGCCTAAAAAGAGCACAGATCTCTTTCATAAAGCTCTTCTGATTGGTTCTGAAATGGTGGAACACTCTTTTCTATCCTGATAGTATCATTATAGACTGCAGTTTTAAACCAGATGCATCACATGAAGAAGAAACTCTGACATCAAGACATGACCCAGGAATATGTGAATTGCCTATCCTTCTATCAGCCACCCACACACTGAGGCCATTGACAGAGACTTTTCCGTATGCCCCTACTGACTTGAGGTGTGGCAGTTCACCATGACAACTGAGGAGACTTCCTTCTCCACACAGTGTCCATGGAGGTTGAAGCTGTGCTTGGGCTGTTCCCTCTTCAGCACTCGATGGAGACCATTTTATTTTTCAGGACTCTCAAGGACCTTTAACTTCTGAACTGACTAGTTTGCTCTTTTCGTGTTGTAGCTTTTACTGGGTTTTATGATGCCAGTTACAGAGATTTTGTGCAAACCATCTTGGAATATATTAATTAACTACTGTGATATAGATTAATACTATTGTTTTAAGTGCTTTTTTATAAATAAGTATATAAAACATTTCATGTATATTCTGAAAAGGAAAAAAGACGTACACACAAAACAAGTCGCCCTGCTTATCTGTCAACACATTTTTTCATGTATACTGTAGGTCATCCCAGGAATGCATAAGATGATAGCAATAAGACAAATAGCAAACCCTTACCAGGTGTTACAGTCAATTTGGATCTTTTCTCCTGCCTTATATGTAGCATCGTTGTGGATACATGGACACTCTTCCATAGGAATACAGTCACCTTTACCATCTGACACTAAACCAGAGGGACACATGCAGCCAGACACACACTGTGTACTATACTGTAAGAGCCAAGAAGAAAGCACAAGAGCCAAGAGGAAAGAGTGAATTAACACCCATGTCCGATAATTTTCTCCCCCACCCCAGCCTAGTGAAACCTTTTGAATGGCTCAAAGGTGGAGTTCTGTGAAAGTAAATAGGTGAAAGCCTGGATTTGTTAAACAGTGCTTATCATTTAATTCACCAGTTTCGATAAATCACCAGGAGCTTGAATTTCTCAGGAAATGGGAAGAAGTATCATCACAGAGTTATAAATGATATGTGGCTAGTGCACTAGATTTGGTGCATGGGGAGATGGTTTATTCCCACTGAAGAGAGTTAAATAAATAGAGTTCTATAAGTGACAATGGAATCCTGTAGAAGGTGGGGATGGGGTGAGCTAGGAAAGGTAGGCTGCCAAAGGCTTTCTGACCCAGCACACCACCAAGTCCTGGATACGTACACAGTGCATATCAAAGGTCTGACAGCTCTTCTGACATTCAGCTCCAGTGCTGCCTGCAGTGGCATTTCTGCAGTCAAAGTAGACCATAGGGGCAGTACACACTAACGAAAGATTGAGAGACAGAATATGGTATTAGAAATGAAAGTACAGACATGGCTACCACCCAACTGGAGTGCTTCAGCAGAAGGGTGCTGTATTTTCTATCATAAATTATCTTTTGTGAATTTAGTAGTAATGAACATGGTCTTCTAATATAAATATTATTGCTTTTTGTTGTCTATTCTTGCTTTGATCTTTTTGATTCAGAACTACACAATAATGTCTGCAGACCAAAAAATTTAGTTACAGTTAAGTACTCTGCTTCTTTAACTCAGAAGTAAGTCCCACTGTGTTCAACTAAGCACAGAATTGGCACTTAAGTGACAAAAAGAACACCGTTTTTTCAGGTCTGACCTTTTAACGTAACTCAAGGTGAACTAGATAGGTTCAAATAAAAGCATGTGAAAGACATTGAAAACGTACATATATCAACACACATATATTTCTCACCTGGCTTTGAGTCGCCGCCACCACCAATGCAGTTCAGCTTTCCTTGAGTACAAGTGCTGTGAATGGGAGAGGAAGAAAAGGAAATTATGCTTGTTTTTACACAGTCTTGCAATTAATAAGATTTACTATTTATTTTGCTGGGAAATCTAGAGTCTAGATTTGCTTATTTATAACATAATCCTAAAAGAAATCAAGACAAAAAGTCAAAATACTTGCAATAATTCCTGTAACCCAGATATACTAATGACTTATGATCGTATGGGATCTGAAAATTGGACCTTAACTACCACTAATTTTAATGCTTTTCAAAATGCTGCTACTTTCCCAGTATTTAGGTATTTTTTAAAATCTATATAGTTACAGGGCATAACTATATGTCACAGGACATAACTTCACCTAGTTATAAGAAAATCTGGGGACCAATTACAATTTCAAAACTAAAATGATTTATGACAACAACAATGACCAAATGTATTCTGCAACTTGGCTCTTCTTACCATACAGCGCCAAAGTCATGGAGAACTTCACCAGGATGTACAGGTGTTCCTTTGTAATAACAGGGACATTTGTCAACAGGTACACATTTTCCAGAGTCATCCATGTAGGTGTCATTTTCACAGGTGCACCCATCAACTGGGACAAATTTAATATTGCAGGTAACATCTGGTTCACTCAGGGACCGACAGGTATGCTGACAGGAACTGATAGAGTAGCTGTAAGTCAGGGTTTTGGGGCACGATGTGGTATATTTGGCTTGAGAGAAGAAAAACAATAAAACAATATTATTTATTTATTTAAAAGCATTCCTATACCCTACGGCTTGGTCACCAAACACTCACCATCACCTGAATGTTGACAGATAAAGAGGAGAACTGAACAGTTGAATCACCAAAGCAAGAATACTGTACAACAAAGGTTAAGACCTATCAGCTAATACAGGGGCAAAGGCTTAATGAGACTGAACTGAACACTCGAGTGAGGTCTTCTGCAGAAGTGCATCCTGTAGTTTAAAGGTGCAGTGACTAGGAAGATCCCTGTGTCATCCGCCCCTGAGAAGGGCCTTGGTTGTTGATCTAAATCAGTGGTTTTTAACCTTGGGTTACTCAGGTGTTTTTGGACTGCAGCTCCCAGAAGCCTTCAACACCAGCTGTGCTGGCTGGGGTTTCTGGGAGTTGCAGTTCGAAAACACCTGACTAACCCAAGGTTAAGAACCACTGATCTAAATGCATAGTTGTTCTATGTCCTGAGAACTTAGGTATGTAATGGTCATGGCCACACTTTGATTTGAGCTCTGAAGGACACAGACAGGGACTGAAACAGAGCACATCCTTCATATGTTCCATACATATATCTTGATTCCCTGACAAATGTCTGGCTGTATCATTTTGACCCACTTCTAACTTCCAGTTGTTTTTTTAAACAGAGCCTCATGGGGCAGTGGTTAAACCGCTATACTGCAGCTAAGATTGTGCTCACGACCTGGGGTTCAATCCCAGGTAGCCGGCTCAAGAGTGACTCAGCCTTCTATCCTTCCGAGGTCGGTAAAATGAGTACCCAGCTTGCTGGAGGGGGGCAATGTGTAGCTTGCATAATTAACTTATAAACCACCCAGAGAGTGCTTGAAGCACTATGGGGCTGTATATAAGCTGCACACTTTGCTTTGCTTTAAAGGATGTGCACTCTGCACAAACAGAACATTACAAACATCTAGTATAGATTCACTCAAAGCATGAATATTTGTCTTCTTTAAGAAATGGGTTTAAGTAGAATCTTTTGCTCAGATTTGTCCCCTGCTGTCCTGTCTTATGAAGCACCACTAGGAGAGCCCAGCAGAATTTAGAACTGAATGGAATTCACTGGCAGAAACGTTTGTCCTTTTAAGTCCTGGGAGGGCTGCCTAGAACACTTACAGCAAACTGTGGTTCTCCATCCCGGAAGCGCAACTCCTTTGGCTGCACAAGCTATGACATAGGAAGAGAGAGCAGCACACATGCAGTCTTCGCTCCTTTCACAGTTGCAGGTGTCAAACAGGCAGTTCTAGCAAACAAACAAAATAAGCAGCTTTCATGAAAGATGCCATTCTGGATTATAAGTATTTAGCTGAAAAGCAAACAAAATTAGGTGTTGTGCTCTTTATCAAATGACAGAAAGAAGTTTATCTATGCCCAGAAGCAGAAGCTTGAAACATTAATATAGCATGCATGGCTTAGAACCTGCTAACACATACATATATAACACTTGATTTATCATCAGTTCTCTGATATTTTATGCGATGATCTGTACACAAATGCAAGTCATTATTAGATACTGTATCTGTATTTTCCATCAAATGGAAAACGCATATGTATGAAAGACTCCTTAGAACTTTCCTGTGTCTTCAGGCTAGGCAACAACATGATGTTCTTCTAACTTTCAGAATGTCTGGGGGCCCCATCTGAATTCTTCTCACCAGCCGGTCTTCTTGACATTCTACAGAAAGACTCTCACTAGTATGGAAGGACTTGTCCCTCAGAATACTTATCTTTTATTTGACACTTTTTCACCTCTGCCAGTTTTACCTTATCATGCAACAACACCCACATACATGTTTTCTGCTTTTTCGTTTCCTTGTCTCTTCCATGAACTGAGTGAGAATACAGTCTCCACAGACTCAAAATGGATGACAGCCTTTTAATCAGGGGTGGGTAAAGCATTATCACCTACTTCTGAGTTTTTGCAGTTCCAGGAACTACCGGACTCCCCCTTTTAAAAGATTAATGACTATTTCTGGAGAGTTTTCCAGGAACAGTGACTTACTTTTAAATAGGTTTCAGGGGTCCTCTGAAGTATTTTAAACAAACACCCAAATTTTCACAACCAGAAGTGGATTTCCATCCATTTTCAGTTCTGTCTGCTTCAGTGGTTCCTTCCCCTCCCCTCGCTCTTGTAGTCCCTGCAGCTACCAACTACTGCAGAATCCTGGGACCAAAATGTAGCTCCCAGACCTTCCAAGTTGACTCCTACTCAAAGTAGACCCCTACTCTAAACAAACACCTACTTAGTTCCTGCTCTTTGGTCATGCACAGTCCTGATCACCTCACTTTGGAAACAAAGCATAATAGCTGGTTTTAATACCGTATGATAAGGAGCTGGATTCACTGCAGAATGGCATTTGGCAAAAGGTCCGCTAGAGTCGGTCAGCAGGCCACACCAGTGATGGGCATATTTTTCTACAAAGACAAAAAAAAAAATCATACTACTTTGTGAACATCTGTAGACACAACTGGCAACTTTTAGTGCTGTTTACATCTCCAGCTCAATTTTATGACACCACAACAATATTTGTTTCACTCACTGCAATATTCCTTTTTTTTTGTACTTTTTATTTTTTTATAAGGGATAACAGAAAGGAAAAGGGAATTGGGATTGATGAGGAAGAGGGGAGACAATAACATACTTTCATCCATTCTGTACCTATTGCCATATCAAGATTTTAAATTATTCTATTTACTCTTTTCTGCCTTCTAACTAGAAGACTGCAATATTCCTTAGCACTCCCAAACAATGGGTAGAGAAAGGATGAATATCTTCAAAATATTCATGCTATGGGCACACACAGAAACAAGCACACACATGCACTCACAAACAAATAATTCCACAAAGGTGTGTCTGATTATAGTCTAAAACATAGTTATTTCAGGGTTTTTTCAATAGACTTAGGTGCACATAATATGGCTATGAGATCTTGGTTTACAAGGTTTTACCCTTATCCCAATTTCCTCCCTTTATTACTAATGTGTCTTCAGTGCCTCCACTTTTTTGAAAAAGGTTTTGATCATTTAGAGATAGCAATGGGAAATTTAGAACAATGATTTGGAGAATTGATTTCTTCATGTATGGGTCTTGATACAGGCCTACCATTTTCTATGCTAAGTGTGCAAGGGTCCTCAAAGTTGTGTTTTATGTTGGGACATGCAGCCTGAGTTTTCCAGGTGTTAGCAAATGCAGGAGCTGTTCCTTCGACCACTCCACTTATAGCTTGGAAGTCATCTGTTTGGCGGCTGTTAAAGTTTCCACAGAGACCTTTAAAAGAAACCAAAAGCATTTGTATTGATAAGGAAATCATTAACAATATACTCTGGACCAAGACATGATGTACTGTTTATTTGTCCATTCAATATTTCTTACCACATGTCTTCTCTTTAAAAGATGGATCCAGACGAAGGTACAATTGCATGATAGGTACGAGTTGAACAAGAAGCTGAAGGCCAACATTGGTTTCCACAATGATGAAGAAAGTTGAAGGCCTGAAGACGGTTACATTGGCTATGGATAAAGATCATATCATTTTTGTGAGACTCGTAGCTGCAACTACAACACAGGCATAATGAAAATTTAGGTCATGCGGATCTGAGGATGGCTTGGTGCAAGCCAAAACAGTTCCATAATTACAGTGTGTGCTCAGTCAACATTCTAGATCACATTGTCCATACTCATGCTCCTCAGCTTAGTCCACTTTAATTATTTTGTGGTAATATGTGCTGACAGCAACGTGGCTTCTTCACAACATGTGAGATATGACTGAGATCCGAGAGATCAGACTGTGTCCAGCATCTGAAAGACACTGAGAGGGTGCCTTGAATCTCTCAAAAGTGAGTACCACTAAGGGGCTGCAACAAAGGAAAAGATTGTATGTCTGGTGTTCACTTGCCTAACATCGCCTAGTGAAGGCCTCCAAAAAAAGAGAGATCTCAGACAAATTTATGTACTCCAGCGGTACTTCACAAACTTTGACTTCACACTGCACTATACAGCTGTATAGTTAACACACTACCAATTTGCATGGCATCTGGAAAGAAGCCAGGAGCCATTAATAATTGTGCAAAGTAATATGAAACATTCTCATTAGGGTGAGTGTCCAGTAACAAACTGGCTGACTCATCTGATCTACCTGAAGTTTCCAAAACTTTTCAAAGGCAATGCAGTAATTGAGAATGGATGTCTTTAAAGCACATATGACCACAATAAGACCTCTCCCCCCCCCAAAAAAAGGGATCATTTTCTTTTCCAGATCAAGAAGACTCAGCTGAACAAAGCAAACAGTCAATGAATCAAATGTTGCTAGCTTTCAGCACCAAGCTTTTCTGCTACTGTCATATCTGTGGCTGCCAAATATTTTAGGCTGTACTGATAGCCAGGCATTTTGGATGTACACAACATACCTGCTGAGATAGGCAGCTGAGTGTAGATCCAGTTAAGAAATACATCGCCGTTAGACTTGATGACTACACTCTGGTGATAGAAGATAGAGAAGTATTAATCAGTGTGACAATAAAGTATGTCTTCCTTTCATAAAATGGAAAAGACAGAAATATTAGATTCCAAACAATCCTATTGACAATGTTTGCTTTTATGATTTAATGTCTCAGGTGATTATTTATTCTTCTCACCTCCCTTAAGCAGAATTTTCTTTGTGGACACTTCCAGTCTATTCAAAACCCAATTTTTCGTCATTCTCTAATTGCTTCTACAAAAAGCAAGGCCATCTTGTTTATCACAGACACAGTCCTTTTCTGGGGTGGTTATGGTCGGATGATGTCATTCCTCTTTCAGCAGTTGGTAAGGGAAAGAATATTGCTTGACTGCACCATGTCTGCCACTGAATCTATTACCTTGCAATGCCAATGGCCCATTAAGCTGGATATTGGAATATCTCACATGCCAGGCATATACTGAACACTGTTAATCTAATTTGCTCGAGGCAACCCAGAGTATAAAACCATTCTACCCTGAACATTTTTTTTGCACTACAATAACCTTCACTGCAAGATAAATTATACCACTCTTTAATCATATGTGAACTGCAAATGGTTGTGATGTTGCTTTTTGAAGATCTGCACAGAAGGGAAGGTGATAAAGAATGCAACTACCTTAAACCTCCAGTGCTTTTAACTGACCTCAAAGAAGTATATAATATTTAAAACTTTCCCACATCTGTGCCACTTCAGATTTCATAAATTCTCTTCCATTAATTATAACTTACCTTCTAGTAACTTGCATTTTATTATTTTTATATTGGGGAATGTTATCTTGTGCATAGAGTATTTCATTTCTCCTATATGTTTTGATGCTTCCACTGGCTTTTCAAGAAACATTCAAAATTAAACCTTGTTGGCTATTTTTGTTGTTGTTGATTTATCCAGATACACACGGCTTCTTCTTATATATGTAAGGTTGAAAAAGTTGCTAAGGAGAACAACCATACAGAATTCTGTTGCTTCCTTGATATGACCACCACTCAGAGGTCAAGATACAAGTGCAAACGCCTCATGATCCCATGTGTTTTCATGAGTAGATCCGTCTAGTGTGTGAACCCACGAGTGACTCTCCAGTGAAGACAGACACTTATAGGAGGAGAGGAGCCGATTTTCACCTGCTTCTCCCGTAGTCTTCCCATGCTGCATCAACAGGTCTGTGGACCCTTAGGAGGAGATTTTTAGAGAGGTAGGGGGCCTGAAGAGGGAAGGGGGGACTAGCAGAAAATGACCTCTCCTACTACTTGATATCCACTCAAGGAATCTTTTGATCCAAACTTTTCCACAGAGAATCCATGATGACCAATCTGTTTGATAACCTGTTATTCTAATTGCAAAAAAAATCTTAAACTGGGTGGAGAAGCAAATAGTCTTTATTCTGCATATAGAATTTTATTTTACTCTTACTTGAACTATTTTGGCTGACAAGGTAATCTTCTACTTCCTTCTTTGCTTACTTACCGTCTGTCCTCCATTGATGTCAAGGGCCACCATCTTCAAGCATGTTTCAGTGTCCGTTAGGCCACATCTGCGGAGTTCTCCAAGGACAGTAAATTCATCTTCATTACAAACCTAGGGTAAAAAAGAAACAATAATTACCACTTATATCACAGGCACACTGCTTCATATTTGCTGGCAGCCTGAAAGCCATGCCCCAACGGAGTAGGGCTAAAAGGAAAAGGTAGAGCCAAAATGGCTAATTTGCATTTTACTTTTTATTATTATTATTATTATTATTATTATTATTATTATTATTATTATATAGTGTAATTGTTGCTCCAATGCGTTTCCAATACCTAAACAAAAAGGGGTTATACAAAAACAAGTTGTTTATACTTTAAAAGTCCAGGTGCACCCTCTAGTGGCCAATGTTATTTTAGAAAATAGTTTGTTGTGTACGGAGTCTGAGAGGTGCTTGGCTACCATCAAAACCTGTCAAAATTGTCCCCATGCCTCCTAGATGGAACATTTTTTTAAAAAAATAAACGTGGGAGGGCTGAGTATTCCCGGAGTTCTGAGGAGATGCAAAATGGATCTGGGAGGGGCAAACGTTACTCAAGGCCATGTTGCCCTCCTCTGCACTAAAACAGAAGACATGACTGAGGTGTTGTTGCAGAAATACAGTCTAAATATCCTTGAACTCTGACATATGTTAGATTTAGGACTTGGCTTAACATTATAAAAAGGACTTTATGCAGTGTGAAATGTTTCTGGATGTTTTTTCTGGAAAGAGAGTTCATTTTGGAGAAAAAGGAGAGGAAGTCCTGGTATAACATTTGTTGATGCCTAATGGAGCCTAATGAGGAAATGAATGGCACTGTAGTTTTAGATGGTTCAACATTAGATCCCTTTGACATCCAAAGTGGAGTGAAACAGGGCTGTGTCCTTGCGCCAACCCTGTTTGGGATCTTTTTTGCTGTCATGCTGAAGCACACCTTTGGAACTGCAACATAAGGTGTCTATCTCCGGACTAGATCAGATGGAAAGACCTTTAAACTCTCTGGATTGAGAGCAAAGACAAAAGTCCAGCTGAAATGCATGCGGGACTTCCTCTTTGCCGATGATGCAGCCATTGTTGCCCACTCTGCTGAAGACCTCTAACAACTCATGAATCGCTTTAGCAAGGCCTGCCAAGACTTTGGATTAACAATCAGCCTGAAGAAAACACAAATCATGGGCCAGGGCGTGGACTCACCTCCCTCTATTACCATCTCCACACAAGTACTGGAGGTTGTTCATGACTTGTTCATGACTTTGTGTACCTTGGCTAAACGATCTCTGACACCCTCTCCCTAGATGTCGAGCTGGATAAACGCATTGGCAAAGTCTCACAAAGAGATGTGAAATGGATTTAAAACTCAGGAAAAAATAGCAATATAAACATATGTCATATGATATCCAAAGAAAGGGATTTACTTCAGACACAAAGACTTCGAGTTTATAATCCCAGAAACAGAAGATGGTGTGGGAAGGGCAGAGACAGGTGGGCGTTTTGCTAATTACAACAATGGTAAATTTTACATGACTTGCCTTAGAGAGAACGTACGTACAGTCCCCATGGACATCATAATGCTTCTCATCGTAAGTAGAGATATGTGATCCACCCTCAACTGTGCAAATGCCAGGGCAAAGAAGGTCTGTGCACTGCCACTCACCTCCAGTGCAGGAACTAGAAAGAACAAGAAACTGAATGAAGCCAACAGGCACTGCCACTAAAGGCATCTTGTATTATTTTACTACAGAATCATAGAGATGGAAGGGATCCCGATGGCCATCTGATTCAGACCCTTGAAAACACAGGAGATCCACGACTAAGACATCCTTGAAAGATGGCCATCCCACCTCAGTTTAGAAACCTCAAGTGAAAAAGAGCCCACCATCTTCTGAGGTGGTCTTATCCACTGTCAAGGAACTCTTGCAAATATTTAGTCAAAATCTGTTTTCTTCTAATTTATTTTTCATAATTAGCCCTTGTACCTCATGGGGAAACAGACATTTAAAAAGTGAGTGCAGAAGTTACTGGCGGATGTGAGAGCACAATCAAGGATGGGGCAAATATAGATGAACTCTTATGCCTGGATTCACAACAAATGGTTTTGGAGACTAATGCTATGGTAGTATAAAAAAACTGAAATGATAGATTAAGGATGTGGTCAGATGGCGAAAAAGAATAGTGTCTGATTCCTCTAGAAAGGGCCACTTTGCTGGGAATGATCTCCCTGAAAGCCACCCTTCTTTTAATGCAGGAATTGCTCCAGCCTGCTCTCCCCCCAAAAAACAACAACAACAAAACAGTAGTTCTGCTGCTGGACCAGAACATCTCAGCAAACATAAAATAGAGTCAGGCTAGTTTGTGATCTTCTGTGCATTGTGTGAATGCCAGGAAATAACTTGCACCAGATCATGTCACAAGCAGTTGAAAATGTGGGTTCTTTCCCCACCTGACCTCATCCTAAGGTATATCCCCCCCAAAAACATTGGTTTATCTTATCCAACGTTGGAAATTACCATGTACGGCAGTGTCCTGAGTAAGTTGTCCCTGGAGCGTAAGATTTGCCATTGTAAATGCAGGAACATAGCTCAAGGGGGATACAGCCAGAGCCACTGATGTCATCATACACAGTTCCTAAAGGAACAAATAATGTATATGTTTTAATTTTTACAAGTGGGAAAAATTGTTATATGATCTGAAAAGAAACCAGAGTATAATAGTTACTGTTATAATATATTCTGTATGTTAACACCTCCCAGAAGATAGTGGATTACACGAGAAACTCAGAGCTGAGTATAATTTGTAGGTGATGGAAAATACAGATTGCTCTGAGACAGAAGAAAGGGGATGTGGTGGCGCTGCGGGCTAAACCGCAGAAGCCTGTACTGCAGGGTCAGAAGACCAAGCAGTCGTAAGATCGAATCCACGCGACGGAGTGAGTGCCCGTCACTTGTCCCAGCTCCCGCCAACCTAGCGGTCCGAAAGCATGCAAATGCAAGTAGATAAATAGGGACCACCTCGGTGGGAAGGTAACAGCGTTCCGTGTCTAAGTCACACTGGCCATGTGACCACGGAAGATTGTCTTCGGACAAAACGCTGGCTCTATGGCTTGGAAACGGGGTTGAGCACCGCCCCCTAGAGTCGAACACGACTGGACAAAAATTGTCAAGGGGAACCTTTACCTTTACCTGAGACAGAAATTAACCACCGTATATTTTTAAAGGGTACAAAGTACTATTTTCCAAAAATGACTTCTTGCTCACCTAGTGAACTGTAAGGTGGGTGTCCTATAGAGATCAATGACATTTGCTCACCAGAAAAGGAATAAAGGGCTCCTAAAGAACCCAAAGACTAGGCGCTCGTAGTCCAAGTTTTTATTGCGAGACTGCAGAGCCTCATCCACAGAAAGTTATGGGGAATCCAGACAAGAACTTCACAAGTTTGTAACCCTTCTGTGTTTTTTCTCTGGTGCTGTTGTTCTTTTTCTTGCAAGAGATTATCCAGTACGTAAGAAAGGATAGAAGAGCTCAACCAATAGCTTTTGACCGGAAGCACTAGGAGCTTTGGAAGAAGAGGAATTGAAGAAGAAAACTTACCTGGTGGGCAGAAGCAGCCATCTATACAGTGTTCTTCACAGAGTTGAGATCTTTCAGCATTGGTGCAAGTATCTTCACAGGGTGAGCCACATTCTTGATACTCCATGTTGAAAGGACATGACATTGCTGAAAGGGATGATAATCAGTCAAAGTCAGTTTTAATACATATAGCACAATCCTTTTTTAAAAAAGCTTTAAAATGAATAACCATTAAATAGAGGGCTAAGATTACTTGCCTTCTATCTGTTGCTTAGCAAGCTCTGCTTCCCATGACATCTGCCTTCTTAGTTATTTTCCTTGCTGCATTTACATCATGACTTTCCTCCAGTAAGCTCAGGGCAGCGCAAATATAGGGCTCTCTTCATTTCATCCTTAGGGTGAGGCTAGGTCAGGATGCCATGAATGACCAGCCCATCTTTTTGATTTCCTGACTCAGTGGGCCATTGTCCACCTTTTGTTTTTTGCAGATTCAAGCAACCTAGACTGACTTTGCTGTTTGACCTATGCACATTTGCTATCCTCTTTCCAAGTTATAAGGACTTCACATCTGCTTTTCAGCACATCTGGCCACTTAATAGTTCAAGTCCAATTATGGGAAGTCATTCTTTCAAATGGGGATTGAGATCTTTGCACTAGCATCATTTCTCTGGATAATGCAGCTCCTGCCAACCAGGTTAGCTATTGGCCAGAATCAATACAGGCCAGGTGACCAGGACTGGCCAAGCACAGAGGTGCCTCAAATGGCCCATTCAAGTGCCTCAAATGGTCCATTGTTCTGTATTCTTCATTTCATTTCTCTTAATGCATTTAAGAACAGAGTCGGCTGACGTTTGCAGCAGTTGCCACCAACTATTATCTCAAGGGCACTGTATGCCTCTCCCCTTTAAGAATACTTACGTATCAACTAAAAATGTGAGACACCCCCCCTTATTGTACTTCAGTATATGTACTGTAGTGCCTTCTAATTCCCATTTGACTGGACGACAACTTGCTAAATGTCACGAAAAACTATAATCAAATATCCTGCAGAGGACAAGGTGGATTGTACACGAATGCATTTTTTTCCGGCCACAGACATAGGTATTATGTATACTTACGGCACAGTTGTGGGGTTCTCCAGTTCTGAGGGTGCCCGCCAGCATGAGCACACTGCCGGGAGTACTCAGCAAACGTGTCACAGAGACAAGAAAATGATTCAGGGTTGGCACAGAGGCACAAGTCTTGTACACAAGCATCAATGTAGTCATCCACCCACACGATAGCATTGCATTCAGAGAACGCAGTGCCAGTCAGGACTTCCCTGCATATATCCTAGATGGAAAATCCAGAAGAGACCTCATTAAGCCAGGACATTCTATAACCTCAAGGGCCTACTTCTGAACAGTGTCATCAGCGCTCATGGCACAAAGTAACAATAAACAAAAAAACAAAAAACCCCAAACAAAATACAATAAATCAGGAAGTCTGATCCCTTGATCAAACATTTAACAATATACTGTTAGGACAAGGAGGCTGAGAATGTTGCTTAAATTCTGATGTTTAATGTGCTGAGTCACACTAGCGTAGACCGATTGTATTGGTGGGGATCTGGTGAGTCAATTCACCAAGATGAGCAAAAGTAAGTTACCATGAGAGAACCGATGTAACCTGTGAAGGAGCTGAGTCACCAAATTTCCATTGATTCAATGGTCTGAGTCTAGTGCGACTGACCGTGCTAAACAACAGGATTTCAGCCATTGTCTCCAGTATACCATCTAGCCACTTTCCCCCAAGATTTCAGAAAATGTTTTTTCTAAGGAAATTACTTCTTACCCGTATATCAGTGCAGTTGTTCAGAGGGAGTGGTAAAGGATCATTACAGTCCTCTGTTGGACCATTCAGCTTTTGCATATTCCCAAACTGCAGGGGAGTTATGCGGACATCTGTAATAAATCAAGCCAAGACATCATTCATGGAATGTCTCTCCCATAAATGTTCCCTTCAGGCTTGAGCAAATTGCACAACTTTGCACCATGTTCCCAGAATGGTAAACTCTAGAAAAGGTCACCATTCCTCTGAATTGACTGAATGACAAACAATTATAATTCAAAAATTGCAGGGATACATTGATAAGCTTGGAAATAGATATTTCCTCATTTCCCTACTGTTGTTGTACTCTGACTTCAATCAGCATGGTTACTTATTACAAATGATGGAAAATACAGTACTAGTCCAAGATTACTGGAGGGACCACAGGTTGTTATATTCACAGTGTAAAGTTTTAGAAAGTGAAGAATAGTACATGAGGCAAAACTAACTGAGTTTTGTTTAGATACCAACACTTAAAATATACTTTCCCCCCACGAAATTATTGGGGGAGAGGAAACACAGAAGGCTGAAGCAATTGTAATTTCATGGCACTCAGTAAATGACAATACATAAAATGTGGATAGTCAAATTCAGGGGCATTTTTCATACTTACTGTTTGAAAAGAATTCATTGTAAGTTGGAATGCCATTAAAATCCCCACAAAGCCCACAAGTCTGATTGACATATTTTCCATCCAGTTCCAGCTGAAATTATATAGGAGAGAGTTGATAAAAGTTAATAGACAAGCTCTCTGCAGTAGGCATTGAAAATCTAAGGCAACAGCTGCATTAGCGACACAGAAATAGATTTCCATTAGTGTTGTGTTTTGGCAATTTAATGCAATCTTAGTGGATAGAAAATTGGGGTTTCATTTGTGAGTCACCGGCGATATGCTGTTCATAACAACCTCATTTTCATTGTAATACTCATAACAGAACTATCTCCTTCTCCTCTGCTTGTGGTTTCTGTTCTCTGAAGGGAGGATTAAAAACCCGCCTCTAATCGACAGGTGAGGTTACACCCCATAAAAGTACAATTTTACTAAAAAATGAAAAATTGAGATAGCAGACGACATCTCCTGCAAACCCGCAAGTATGTTAAATCCAAATATTTTCATCTTTTAAAAATGGAGATCAAATGTCAAGTGGGAATACATTTGAATAGCTTTCTTCAATTATAGACCAACTACAAATAAGACATCTGTGGAAAGCAAGACACTTCTTGGGAACAGAGCAGCATGACAGATATGGGCACATATGCACCCCCACCCACCCCCCCACCAACTGGGGGTGGGGCTCTGG